TGTTGTGGTGGATGTTGTTGTTGTTGTTGTTGTTGTTGATGACGATGATGTTGTCGATGTTGCTGCTGTTGTTGATGACGATGATGATGACGTTGTGGATATTGTTGTGGATATTGCTGTTGATGATGTAATGGACGTTATTGTTGTTGTTGTTGTTGATGGTCTGGCCGTAGATATTATTGTTGTAAATGATGTTGCGGATAATGACGAGGCTGAAGGTGATGTTGCTGCGTATAATGACGAGGCTGAAGGTGGTGTTGCTGATGTTGATATCGTAGTCAGTTCTATTTTTAAAAAATGATTTTAGAGTCAGACTAAACGATTAGATAAGATTTTTTTTCTTTTTATGTTACAATGTATCGAAGTAAGATATGAGTTCATTATAATAAAATAGGAAATATTTAAATAATTTCCCTCTATAATTGTAATTCTACGATATCGACTTTAATTATATCTCTATCATAATAATCAATCTTTCATTCGGATACAAATGTGTCCAATATCTCTGCCAAGTTGTCTTAGTTCTCGGTAGCCTGAAATTATTTTACATGAAGAAAACAAATTTTTCTCTTTCATCAATATCTTTCCTTGTAAATCTGTTGTATTTATACTGACCTGGTGGAAATCGTGTTCCACTAATAACATCCATACTAGTAGCATCCACATCAGTCAACATATTTCCATTTTGATTCAACATATCACCAAATAATTCACAACTAGAAGTTGATCGATGAAACGTGGCTGCTCTGCATTGACTTTGAGTTAAACAGGCTACTTGACAATTCCTAATATTTGATGTAATAACATTAATGAATGGTATACACGTTGTATTGCCACATTGAAATTTAGAATCAGGTAATAAAGACATTATCATTGATCCTGTATTTTCTCCGATTATTTGTTTTATAATCATAAATAAAAGCCATAAGCAAACTCTTCTTGAAGCCATCAATTATCAGATTCTAAGTTGGTGAAATGAATTCAATTCCTAGTAGAAGACAGGATATTTATTGAACAATAAATTCTTTTTTTTCTCTCTTTTGAGTGGGTGATGCATGGTTTTTCTCTGAAGTAATTTCATCATTTTAATCAGAAAAAGTAGTCAGGACTTTTTTCTCTGAATTCATTTCATCGATTTAATCACAAAAGTAGTCAGGACTTTTTTGTACTTTTAAAAAAAAATTATTCATTTGGAAAGATGGTTTTCCTACGTGTTTATATGTTATCTGAAGACAAATATGTTTATAAATAGACCTTTTTACTTATACAAAGAAAGATCGATCGAACAAAATTGAATTTCAAAAAAAAAAATATGATCAACGTTTAGGTAGAGGTGAAGTCTTCTATAAAAATCAAAAATCAAGTTTAGTTAAAATTTAATTTTATATTCAAATCTGATTACTGCAAATGTATCTCATATACTATATAATATATCAGTGAATTGCCATATTATTCATACTGAATAAAGTATATTTTTAATATTTAAACGAACAATAATCAAATGAGTTGTTTGATTAGACAAGAAAACTGTACACTTCTTCGCAATCAAACAAACTTCGATTAGATTTTTCGAATGTGTATAACCCAAAGTATAACATAGTATCGAAAATCTCTCTTTTTCTTATTCTTTCATTCTCGATTGATTATAATTTATAATTTAACAGATAATCATATTTTTCTTCATCAATGAGAAAATGATTTCAACAATTGAGATTCATGTCTATGTAGAATCGTGTTAACATCATATTCATTATTATATAAATTAATACAAATAGTCTTTTTGATATTCCAAGGTAATTTAAATAGTTGTTTATCATAACAACACATTCTAACATACTTTTTCCTCAATAAAAAATATTCATTCAGTGAATGTATCCTTTATGTTTCTTTCATTTGTATGTTGCTATGATGTATTATGTATGCAGAAAAAGAAACAGAAAACTGGTGAAATCACCTAGAAATGTTATAATCACAATAATAGAAACTACGTTGTTTCATAAAAAGAGAACTGCGTATGAGTAAAACAATGATGACAACAAAAAGTTAATTTTTTCTCAATAGAAAACAGAATCTCCATGATTACATGAGAAAAACTCAGTTGATGACACGTCTTTTCTTTCTTCTAATATTTTGTCGAAGAAAAATAATAGAAATATTCTTACAAAGTTTAATTATTACATATACAACACCAAGATAAACGATTATTTCTAATAAATAAACATTTCTTTCTTCTTCGGATTCTAGAGGCAATGGATAGTCTACTAAAGAATATGTTATACATGAACATAGTAATTCCAATATTTATCGACAGTACAATACTCATTCAGGAATTTCATATCTGTTATAGGGGAAATTAAAATGTCAGTGAAATTTCAAATTCACCTGTACAGGAAATATAAATGTTTGTTTGTCTTTTTGGTTCAAATTAATATCAACTTGAGAGTATTTTGATGATATCTATTGTTATTGTAATAGAAAAAAAAAGAGATTACTGAATAATAACAATTCTAATCTTCAACATAAAGTGTCATTTAAAAATAGAGTCAATAGTAATATCATAAATTACAACTTCTCTCTACATACGTATTCATTAGAAGTTGAAAAAACACAATATTTCCTGATCAAAATACTGGAATAATTGATCGAAAATCTTTTCGAATAGAAATCTCATTGATTATAATATCTTAGATGTTATACTAAACAACTAGTATTTATTTATTCAATTAATACAATATAGATCTGCATCAAGTCGTGTATACAACTCATTTGGAATCAAATGATATTAATCTGATAAATAAATTAAACATAGATGAAATGAGAAAGACATTATTTTTCTATTTTCACAACAATTTTATAATAATATAAATATGATATAATTAAAAGAAAACATATTATAGAGGTCATGCTGAAACAAAAGAAACCGTCATAAAAAGAAATATTTTATAACCTAATAGCTACAAAATTATATCAATGGAAATGACTTGACATACAACTTTTATATTTTGATAAACTTCAATTGTGGTGATCGTTTTTATTTTGGAATGAAAGAAGTAATTATTAAGTAAGGATAAATTGACGAGAAATCGAATGGATCCATTTAAAAGAAGTTTCACAATCAGATCTCAAGATAATGAGAATATGAAGACATTTTGTTGGTAAGTTGTTATTAACCTCTATAGACTGTTTTTTTCTTGTTACTCAATTATTATTTTGGTGTGGTGTGGATGTGAGATGATATCAATATATATATATTCATCTAACTGTTTCATCCACATCTGATCGATATTATTTGCTACGAATTTGTTAGAAGATCAGCACTATTTCAAACTGAACAATAAAAACAATATATTGCATCACTCTTTTGTTTCTTCATTGTAGGAAGGCAACATCTACCGATGAAAGAATATAAATATATGACTCACATATTTTGTTAAAGTAAATTCTATAAATGTTGTTGAATAATGTCAAAAATAAAGATGTAAAAAGTCACTTCTGTTTACTGCAATATTTAAACAAAAAGAGGAAAAGATTAAAACTCTTTCACTTATTTTTATTCGTAAAAAAGAAGTGCCTATTAACTATTTTATTTTATTATTCTATGATAAAATAAGAATATTAACTGAATTTGTATTTGATTGTTATGTTTTATGATAAATTTGAAAACAGTTCTATATTATTTTTCATGTGATCGAAAGCTATGTAATGAAAATATAGAGCTGATAATTGAGAATTTTATTAGATGATGAGAAATGACTTTATCATTACTTTTGTTATTATTGTAATCGTTGAAACAGCATCTAAATCATGTCGTTGGAGTTTGTACCTACTAAACTATTGCGGGTGTGGGTATTGATCATTTCTCATTTGCATACACATCGATAC